TTCTTTCTTTCTTTCTTTCTTTCTTTCTTTCTTTCTTTCTTTCTTTCTTTCTTTCTTTCTTTCTAAAAATGCTGACAGTGAGAGAAATGCTAATTAACATTTTGAGACATTTTGTAAACATTAGTTTGTGGCACAAAATATCAGTTTGCTTCAAATACATAAAATACAGGAAATAATTTTATTTCATAATTAATAAAAAGTATACAGATTGCTACATATTTAAACACCAAGTACTGTGCTGTAACTTAGAATTCAACAATTCAAACAATATTTTTAAGAATTAGCACACCCTTATTAACAGCTGAGACTTTCACCAAAACACCTTCACTCACCAGCAGCTTTTTATTTTACACTTTATATCCAAATAAAGATTGAAACAGTTTGAAATACTGAGTGAAACATGGAGGTAAGTTCAGCATCACTGCGTTACCGAAGCATGAAGAAGGTTTGAGTTCAATAAAGACGTCAGAGATGGAACCCTGAGAGAACTAAAGCAAAACACAAACTAAATATAAATATAATAAAAACAATCAGAGTTTTACTGACAGGATTCATTAAACATATTACAGTTATTTTAAAACATTCTTATTTTTGTTTCTTACATAATGTGAACATGTGTTACGATAAAAAAAYGTGATTAAAGCGTGAAAAAAGCTCAAATACATTTAAGGCAGAAAATATTACACAAACTGAGGAATCGACTTTTTTACGCTTCATTAAAAAAGGAATAAAAATGGAGATGAGAGTTTTTAAGGAATGTAATTTTAAATGGATGAAACTGAAGCAGCTTTTCTTCACATCGAAGCTTTTAGATTTTCCCTTTTTACACAAACAAACTAAAATATGACTTTTAAAAGCTCCCTGTTCATCTAAACTCCTGAAAACTGCTGAAAAATAAGATTCATTTATATTTTTGTTTATTGTAAACTCTTCAGTCTTTTAAAGCGGTCTCAGTCTGAAATAAAAATATTAAAATTTTAATCAAGTTTTCTTTTTTCAGCTACTTAAAGACTAGTTATACTGAACTCCACAGTTCTGTTTATTTTAAATAAACTCTTGATGTATTTTATAGACACTTTTTAAAATATTTTATGTTACAAAAATCCTGTCTGGAGTTTTTGGAAGACCCTAAATCCCCGGGACCCTCCAGACCAGGTGGGCCCGGAGGCCCTGTTTTATGTCAAACCTGAAAAAGTCGTCTTGGTTTTGTAAAAAAAATAAAATAAAATTAAAAATCTAAAATTTGAACCGGAGTATCCAACTGTGGGC